ACCTCTACCACCTACCTGAGGACAACCACGCTCAAGGTAAAGCAGACAAGCACAAGCTGGGGACAGGAGATTCCCACAACATAAAATAACCTGTGCTGGCAAATCCTCCTGGGCACGAAGGAGCCTGCTAAAACCTTCTGCATGTCACCCACCCAGCTGAGACATCCAGTGCTGGTGGAAGCAGATCCCCCAGAGCCAAGGAGCTTTGTGACTCGTTATAAAGCCCCTCCACCTTCCTCCCAACACAAAAAGGGGATTTACATGGGGGTACCACAGGCCACTGTCTCACAGCCACCACCCCATTGCTGCAGGCAAAACAAGGTATCATTTCCCCCAGTTATGAGCAGCCTCTCGCCAAGGGAAAGACTTCCACACCCCACTGCTGGTCATCCCGGCCGAGGTCTCCCACAGAGCACTTCCAGGGAGTGTGGCAGAGCCCCAGCCTGTTCCTGCTGTGGCTCAGGGATGGTCTGATACCACAGAGCTCATCTTTAGGCTTTTCACTTCGCCTCGATGCTCACCGCAGCAGGCAGGTCTCCCGAAGGGGCACAGCGGTCAGCGTGTCCATGGCAGAAGCAGCTCCCCAGCACCCGCATCTCTGTCACGGCGTAGAAGGGGCTGGGCGAGTGGTAGCCCTGGTGTGCAACGTAGGGGAGCTGGGTGAAGTTGATCCGCAGGTTGGTGAACTGTCCCAGCTCTGTCAGGGACCAAGGAGAGGAGTGAGGGGCAGAACTGCACTGTGCCTCGTGTGGAGGGCTTGGAGCAAGGGACAGAGGCGTCGTCATGAAGAGCAGCTGAGTCATCAAAGACCAAACGCTGCTCCTCAGCACACTGGAGGCACCAGGGCAGGTGGTTTGCTGAGGACCTGCTCCCCACGGGGTTACCCCAGCACAGTGCTCTCCATCACAGGGAGGAAGAACCATGAGGTGCATCATCCCCCTCTCCCTTTCTCAGATATAAAAGAGATCGTTCACTTACTATCGATGGTCTGGCTGTGAGAGGTAGTGATGGTAGACGCCAGGTCTTGGATACTGAATTTTACCTGAGAAGGCAAAAAAGTAAGTTAAAAAGGAGGAAACACAAGGTGCTTTCTTCTCACGCTCTAGGCGGTGTGTACGCTGGACCTGCCTCTGCAGAACAACACTTGACAGAGGGAAAAGACTTCAGACTTGCAGAGGATTTTGTGGGAAGACCAACATAACACCTCACTTGTCAGAAAGCAGTGAAGGCTTCCTCACAGAGGAGCAAGAATCCTCCTGGGGACTCCCCTCAGCAGCACTGGATGTCCACAGGCTCCATCCCTCACCACGTCTCATACATGTAACACCCTTCCAGGCCACCACGTGTTTCTGCAGCGCTGCACAGGCCACCTGCCCCCAGCCCAGGGTCACAGCGGGGGGAACAGGCACGTGTGGGGGTCCCTGCCACAAAACCCCACAAATCCTACCTTGCCCCCGTGCAAAGGGTACCCCTGCAGCGCCTGGCACCGAGCATCCTGCCAGCTCTCGGGGGAGCCCCGGGGGACGTGGGGGAAGGCGGCGGCACAGTCGGAGGCCAGGTACTGGTACAGCTCCCAGGTCTTGCCGAAGTCACTGGAGCGCTCGATCAGCATTGCACCGGGCAGTGGCGACTGTGGGGAGGGGAAAGAGGCTCCTCTGTAACAGGGAGCACCCCAGCTGGCTCCCACCCTGGGGGTGCCTGTTCTCCTCCTCCTCCCTCCTGGCTCGGGTCACCACAGGCTGCTGGAGCAATCCCCTGCCAACAATTCCTGGGTCCCCCCCGTTCCCTCAGCCAGCCCTGCTGCAGCCCCACACTCACAGCCACAAAGTACATGTCTGCACCAAGGAGATTTTTCTGCAGACAGTTGTGGGATGGGAGCCCACCACCCTGCTCTGCTCCTCCCAAACACCTGGGGGAATGGCCATGCAAGAGGGAACATGGATGGATGGGGTCACAATCCTTGGCCTTCTTCCTATTAGGAACCCAAAGGGAGCTGTGCTCTGAGATTCCTCACATCCAGCGGGGCCAACCCCCCATCATCTGTGCCTCCTCGAGAGCAGGGGGGATGCACACCAACCCTGAAGTGAAGCACGATGCTGCTGAGCTGGAACATCTGGTCCAGGTCTAGCTGCAAAGAGACGCGCTCAATACCTGCAGGCACAGAGAGGGAGGGTCAGAGGATCTGAACTTCAGGAGAGTAAACTGCTCAGCTGCCTGAGCCAAGTCATTTCTTTCCTTCCACTCTATTGGATTCAACACCCCCTCCTCTTCCCCACAATGCCATTTACTGCAAGGGGCTGTGGTGTCCCAGGGGACCCCAAGGTGCCCAGCAGGTACTCACCGTTCTGGGACTGCCACCAGCGCGAGTGCCCGGCGGAGGACACTACGTTCTCCACGCGGTGGCCGTTGTAGGCGTGTGGCAGGCGCGAGTCGCACCTGCAGCATCTCATGCTCCACTGGAAGAGAAAGGGTGGGTAGAAGTGACCATCCTGGCTTGGTCAGAGGGAAGGGAAAGACCCCACTGCAGATCCCAGGGGGAAGGGAAAGACCCCACTGCAGATCCCGGAGGGAAGGGAAAGACCCCACTGCAGATCCCGGAGGCGAGGGGCCCACGTGCAATGAGGACTCACCAAGGAATAAATGGCCTCAGTAAAGCTGATTTATTAGAGATCTGAAGAACCAGGATCAATGAGACTAATGACACACAGGACTCGAGTGGTCCCCTTCACACCCCATTAGAAAAACCACAACTTATGGTTTTATGGACTAAAAGCTAAAACCAAAATGCTTTCAACTAAAACACATTTTTTTTGCAAATCAAGAATGCCTTTTCTAAGCAAACCTCTCCTGTTCCACAATGCCAACACTTGACAGAAAGCTTTTTGCAGCTTTTCAGGACCAGTTGGCCCTTTCCACAGAGCCGAGGGGGCTGGGTGAACAGAAAGGCCTTTCTCTCCATCCCAAAACCCCGGGTGATGCTCGGCCCCCTGCGCTCTCCCCCGGGAGCGGAGCTCGAGCAAACAGCTCAGCTGGTGAGAAGTCAGCGGGTGGGAAGTCGCAGCTCAAAGTTCAGCCCTTCACTTGAGCAAGTCATTCAAGAAGCAAACAGAGATGTAGCACGGGGACGGGAGAAAACAGGGTCCCTGAGGAGCAAACAAATCTCCACACTTGGACTAACCAAGCAACGCTCCGTGCGGCCACTGACACGGGGCTGCCGGGTGTGTGCGGCACATGAGCCGGCTCAGAAATGTGTAGAAAGCAGCAGGAAGGAGATTGAGCAAGAGACAGAGAGCAGGGAAGGTCCAGACATGGGCCAAGAGGAGAGGTGGGTACAGGGTGGGTATGGGGTGGGCAAGAGCCACTGCAAAACCAAGGGGAGACACCCCAGTGAGGCCGAGGTGGGGAAAGGCAGGTCCCAGAGGGACGTTAAAATAGCAGGTGACAGCAGAGCCCACAGCAACATCCCTGGGGGACACAGGGAGGCCCAGTCTGAAGCACTCAGAGAGAAGCAATCACAAGGGGCTGTAGATAACACTGTCCCAAAAGCAAAGGTGATGTGAAACATTTCAACTAGAAATTCAAGTTGTCAGCAGCCCAAGCAGTAAAGCAGCCTCCAAAACGCTGCAGAGGGACATCGCGCTTCACACTGACACAGCCCAAAGCCCAAGAAATGGGGGAAGATGAAGAGCAACATTTGCCAGCAGTGGCAGGTGCTGGACGTGGTGTCACGGGGCAGGACAGCTCAGAAAGGACGTCCTGGGAGGAAAGTGGGTTTAGGGGAGAGGAGGGGAGCGGGTCTGGCACAAGGGAAAGTAGTGAGACACCCCACTGTGAGGGTCAGCGTGAGGTGACAGCAGAGGCATGGGCATGTTTGGGACCCCAGTGATGAGATCAGCTTTCAGTGGTGGAGCAGAGACATCGGGTGACAAGTGACAAGAAACACTTTATATCCACCTCTGTGCTAACATCTCCCCATCTGATACTTAAACAAATGAGCCAATTCCAACCCAAACAGGACCTTGCACAGGAGCTGGGGTTGGGAGGGATCTGTGCCTCGGAAAGGTGGTGGCCAGTGAGGCAAAGTGGCACCAAGATTTCTGGTTTCCTCTTTAAAAGATTAATTCCCAGCTTACACATATTTCCTTACTCCTGAAACAGGCTCGTCTAAGCCACCCAAGTCTCTTACTTCTATAGAAAAGGACTCAGCTTCATAAAAACTACATTAAAAAATAAATAAATAAAATTGAATGGAAAATTTTGTCCAGAGTCACCTTTTTGCTTGTCCTCACTCCAAACCACCCAAGGCACAGGCTGCCTTTGAACAGAAAGCTCTGACAGGTACCACCCCAGGTGGATGGCACACGGGGAGGTGACTGTCACCGTGGATGGGCAGCAGCAGCACAGAGGTGAGCTCAGACCGTGGGTTTGTTTTAGTTCCTAACAAAGCCCAGACCTGACCCTGCTCTGTCCCTGGACCTGGGAACCTTCCAGCAGTTGGGTGGATATAGAGGAAAGATCCTCACTTAAACCTGATCTGTTTCCATAATATTTTCCACAGTCTTTATGTTCTCTGGCTATAAATATCCCAGAACAGGAGTTGGTTAACTACAATATTTATAACAATATTGCAAAGTAAGCAAACAGAGAATTCAAAATATATAATCATGCAATTTCCCTGGCTCTACCAACTCCTCCTGGCTCTGCCAGTAAAAATCAGAACTAATACAATTGGCCCAGGCAGAAGAACTCATTTCAGATAATGACTACCAGCAGCAAATCGTCAGGAATTATCCACAGAAATAAGCTAGTGAAAATTCCCAATAATGACTAAACTTCACAACAGTTCTGTCTGTGATGAGCAAAGGGAGAAGGAAGGTTTTCTGCAAGGGGAAAGGTTAATCTCGGCTAAATTATTCATTAGGAGTGATTCATGCATACTTAATAGACCATTCACACAGCCAGAGAGAGACACAAGTGCCTTCGAGTAGCTACAACAAAACGCTGGCAAGGAAGCTGCATTCACACTTAAAATGTGGTGCTAAGTAAAAATGAAGCTTAAACTGTGAGACAGACCCTCCCCATGCAGCCGGGCACTGTGCTCCGTGCAAAAATCTTTGCCTTTCCCCCTTAACCCCTCTTTTTTTTCCCTCCCCTCAATTTTTTAATTAAGGCTAAAATTAACACTGGAAGCAAAATTCATTTCACATCCTTGGGGCAAATTGTGAAAGCCCTTTATTGCACAACAGGAGGATTGGCTATGACTGACTGGGACTATGTGTCTCAAAGTTCCTCGGGAGAAAGAGAATTACCAAAAATGAGAGTCCAGCCCCAGGTCTCCCACACATCGTCCCCTCCCTGCAAGGCACCAGTGGCCCCAGCCCCTGTGCCACCGCAGCAAAAGAGAATGGGGATGTGGTTGGGTGGTGATGGGATGTGGGGCTGATAAGGTCTATGGAAGGTAAAAGAAGTTGTGGAACTGTGTGGAAACCACTAACCACCCCTCTGTGCCTCCAAGCTACTCCTGAGAATCGCCTGAAATACAGGTTGTGGAGGTTTAGGGATTAAAGGAGATTCCTTCCAGCCCTTTGAAAGGTAATTCAGAAGGCAGTTTTAGAGGAAAAACTAGGATGTTGAGAATAAACAGGCTCATGTTTTAGAAATAAATAAAGAGGAGGAAAAAAATCAGTGTAGAAGAATAACCAGGTACTGTAAAAATACCCATCTATTGATTACATCACACACCTGGGACACTTCTGCACCGTGTGTGCAGGGACAGGGCTGCAGACCCAGCCCTGGTCCAGCTCTGCTGCAGGTTTTTGCTGCTCTCCTCCTGCTCTGACCTTGTGAACCAGTTGCTGGTCAGCAGCCTCCTATGCTTCCCCGCTCAGGCAGGGCCAGAAAACCACAAACAATTAAGCTGATGGACTCAGACCAAAATATTTTAAGTAGCTCTATCTGCCATTTTAATACGAGCAGAGAGCCCTTGAAATAAAACCTCCTGGCATAGGTACCCAACCCAAAATAAACTGAAGTTATTCATCAGCAAAAATGGGAAGCTGCTTCTCTCCAGTCATGAAATGAAGACCTTTCATAGCTGAGGAGACCTTGATGGTTCCATGTTTAACCCGGCTCCATGTCAGTCAGGCTCCTGGCACACAGCCTCCATACGAAAGCTTAGCGTCATCTTGTGCAATTAATATTGTATAGGGGCAGTAATTACTGCTCCAAGTTTATGTGGGGACAATCTGGAAGGCAGTGGGAATTTATATCTACACAGAGAGATGGAGGGTTACTAAGAAACAGGGTGGGCAGCAAGAACAAATTCCCTTAGGAACAACAGCACCTCTTAAAGCCAAGGTAAGCAGTTCTCTATTCCAACCCATTTTTGTGCCCTGCTAACATCAGCTGTAGGACATCACTATGCCAGGCTCATGGAGCAGTGCTGGTCTTGTCTGTGAAGTACTCCATCCATTTTCCAAGGCAAAGCTTGGTAGAAGTCACCCATGGTCACGTCGGTGTGGTTAAACTTCTCAGTGAGCAATTGGCATTTGCCAAACAGGACTGTGGTTCAATTTTGAAACACAGAACTATCTGTCAGCCGTAACATCTAATGTCACATCCTTGCTTGGCCAGAAGTAACCCTGGGAAGTGAAGGGAGCTCTGAGGTTATGCTCAAAAGACAAATAGAAGGCTCTGACCCTCAGCTTGGTTTTACTGGTGACCCCCAAATTCAGTGACAATAGCAGAGACGGGGGAGAAGAGACATGCTGGAGAAACATCCTAGGGATGGGGTTTAAGGAAATCAAGTTCATTTCTCTTGCTTAAAAGCAAGCACGTGGGTGCCTGTTTTCCATCGCCCCGTCTGTTCTCACATCATCTTCCCTCAGCGAAACTTCATTTAAAATCTGCCAGGATGACAGTCTGCAAACCCCATTCTGCACCAGTTTATCTCCACCCGTCGCACGCATCCCGGGACCCAGCTGCCTCTGCAGCCTGTCTGCGAGGGAACGACGTGATGTCTCCCAACGACGTGATGTCTCCCAGCATATGTGTCAATTTGCAGTCATGTGGCAAAAGAAGATACAGAGGAGGGAAGTGGAGGAGAAAAAGAATAATGGGAAATAGGCTTTTTCTTCTGCACATTCACTACAGGTAAGGACACGTCCCTGCAGCAGACAGCAGGGTGTGTCTGAATGCCAGAACAAGATGAGATAAGCACAGAGCAGCCCCTTCAACAGGTCTGGAATACAAATTATTTGGTGCAAACCCTCAATATTATGAAGCAATACCCAAAACTAGAAGCCCTGCTTTGAGCAGAGGTTTGGATTTCCTGCAGTCCCCTCCGACCACAATTATTTCACGATTTTGCAGATGCATTTTTCTGTGTAAGACTTGAGTTTGACTGATGATGTGAGGAAAGCAAATGAGCTGGGAGGCACCATGGCTTTCC